AATTTCTTCTCCAGCCTCTTGGACATATCTGATCAGGATCAGGAGATTTATCCACCTGTGAAATGGACTGTCCCCAAGATATCGCTACAAACTTCCCTAAATTCCCAAGTCGTCATGTCTTTCTCCACGGTAAACACAGAGGACCTCAGCCATCTCCTGGGGTTCCACACATTCAAGGACCACAGTGGTCCTTGAAATGTCCTATTCTCTCTCTAGGTATTCTTTCTCCTTTAAAATACTTAAAGAATCTCTTAGGATTCACTCTAACCTTCTCAGCCAAAGCTATCTCATGCCCCCTTTCTGCCCTCCTGATTTCTTTCTTCAGTAAACTCCTGTGTCCCCTATATACCTTCAGGCATTCCCTTAATCCTAGCTGTCTGTTCCTGAGCCATGCCTCCTTTTTCCTGGTCAAAGCCTCACTATCTCGTCATCCAGGGTTGCCTACTCCTGCCAACCTTGCTCTTCACCCTCACAGGAACACAGAGGCCTTAAGCTCTAGCTATCACGCTTTTAAAGGCCTCCCACTTGCTAGAGGACCCTTTGCCTGCAAACAAACTACACCAATCAATCCCTGCAAGGTCCTATCTATTTCCAGCAAAATTCACCTTGCCCTAATTTAGAACTTGAACCTGTGGACCAGTTTTGTCTGTCTCCATAACTATTTTAAAACTACTGGAACTATAGTCACTGGTTACAAAGTGCTTCCTCACTGTCACCTCAGTCACCTGTCCTACCTTACTTTGCAAGAGCAGGTCGAGTTTTGCTCCTTCCCGAGTAGGGCATACTATAATGTACTGCTTGAGGAACCTTTCCCGAAAACATTTAACAAATTCCACACCATCTAAGCCCTTAGACTGGGACTGCCATAGCGTTATGTTAGGAAAATTAAAATCCGCCACTGTGACAACCCTATTTCTCCTGTAAGTCTCCACAATCTCCCTGCTTATAGATTCTTGTAACTCCCATTGACTATCTGGGGGCTTATAGGACAATCCCAGTAACATTACCATCCCCTTCTTACTTCTTAGCTCCACTCACAAAGCCTCACTGGATGATCCCGCAGTTATTTCATCCCTGACTACTGCTGCAATACTTCCCTTAATCAAAAATACAACTCGCCGTCCCCTCTTTCCTCCACCTCTGTCCCGGATAAAGCACCTGTACCCTGGCACATTAAGCTGCCAGTCCTGTCCTTCCCTTAGCAACATTTCTGTAATGGCTATAATATCCCAGCATCACGTACCTATCCACATCGAGTTCATCGGCCTTACCTGTCAGCCCTCTTGCATTGAAAGAGATTCAATTTAATCCAAAAGGCTTTCCCAGCTCCCTGTCCTGTTCCAGCATGACCTGTCTCTTCAACTTGCTATTTCTGACTACTGTATATCCTTCCAGCCTCACACTTGCCTCCCTGCAGTTGATGACCCCAAACCCTGCCAATCTAGTTTAAACGCTGCCTTAAACACGAGCAAATCTGCCCGCCAGGATATTGGTCCCCCTCCAGTTCAAGTGCAACCCACCCCTCTTGAACAGGTCATCTCTGCCATCCAAATTGTTCCGAGGCCGGGGCAAAATCAATAGCACAACTTTATTTCAAGATATTAGGTTAGACAAAATGTTATTCACCAATTTTTACTTACTGTAAATTACAGGACAGCCGATGAAGTATCTGATGAAGAGATTAACATCCAAAGCTGCACTAGAAAGTACAAGTCTTAGAGACGGATGTTTTTGCATCAGATCCCTCAGTTTAGTTAGTAAGAAATCACTAAACCTATCCCGTTCATGCACTTCATCCTGTTACATAAAGAAAAAGAAAGGATTCAATTGTTAACATAAATTGTACAGTTAGTGGAACAAAGGCCAGGTAACAGCCATTTTAAAGGTGTCTAACCTTTACTGTTTACAAAAATTGGTTAATAGTTGTATAGCATATACCCTAATTGTTATCCCAAAAACATTTACCAAAGCAATTAATTCACTTCATATAGTGAACGGCCTATGCTCTGCAGGATGAATTCAAACAGATTAAGTACATTTGTGCTCTAATGTTAGTCGCACTTACTAAGAACTTTCAAATTGTCCTTCATAAGCCATGATCCAAAGCTGAGCAGCCACTTTTCTAGGCTGCTAAAGTTTTGAATAACCAAACTATGGCTTTCATTTTCTTTTCAAAAGCAATCATTTTCTAAACTTGCCATCAGATCTTCAACTTGTGCCAGTGTTTCACATGAAAAATAAAGATTTTCGCTGGAATTGAAGAATGTCAATGAAATAATTACATCAGTTGAAAACTGACAATTTTCACTTTGCTATAGGTTGTACATTAACAAAGTGGGAAAGTTTAGAAGCAATACCACCTGGGAATTTTTTCTACAGTTGGTTTTCATTAGCCTTTAATCACGAATACAGGTAGATTGAAGAAATAATCTGCTAGAAATGCAGCATTTAAATTATTTTGACTTTCCTGAAAAGGAACTTTCTGGCTATCACCCAGCTCTTGGTTTAAATGGGAGTTTACTTTCTTCAGATGGATAGCAACACTATGTAGCTATTTTCAGTTCTGGACCTCTGATAAGGTTACCTACTGCCTGGGATACTCAGCTGCTTTTCTAGATGAGTTGACTTTATTCAGCATATCCATCACCGCATTGATTTGGAAATAGAACATCCTAAGAACACAGTGATGATCTTTAAAGAAATTACACTGAAAAGGTTCAAAACAGCACAACAGACTAAAAACCAGTAAGTGATAATCAAGAGATAACAAGGTGCAGAGCTGGATGAACACAGCAGGCCAAGCAGCATCAGAGGAGCAGGAAGGCTGACGTTTCGGGCCTAGAC